CTCTTAAATCTCTCTTAATCTCTTTTGATTCTCTTTAATAAAGTAGGGAGTAAATTAGATCCATTGGATTAGGTTAGGAGTCAATTTCAAATATGAACCATTGAACCCTAGCTTGGACCCAAATTAACATCAAAACCCAAATTTGCCCACCCAGTACATGTGGTGAACCAGCCTTCTTCTATAAAAGTCTAAACTCTGAAGAAACTATTTCTCTTTTCCATTGGTTATTAGGCTTTTCTCTTTTTTTTATTAATTTAATGTATTTTTGTTTCATGGATTGTTCTGGTTCAATAGTAAAATTTTAGCAAAAAATGTAGCAAGAAAGTACTTAATGTGAGCCTTTTAGGGGTGCAAGTCGGGTGGGCTGGGTAGGGTTTTAGCTCAACCTAGACCCAACCCTAAGAGTTGGGCCTAAAGCCTGAGCCTCTAGCATAACTCGAACCTGAGGTCAAACCCGATTTATTCAGCCCAAGGCCAGTTCACACTAAAATTTGATGCACTCGGGTTAGAAAAGAAAATTATTTTTCTATTATTTTATATTAAAAAACTAGAAATATATAAAAACTTTAATAAATAAATGTTATTTCATTTTTTTCCTTAAAAATGCATTTTAAACATCAGCTTATGCATCACATGGGTCACTGCTAGTATTTTTTATATCATAAACAAATGCAACCTAATTGACAAGGCAAAAAGAACTTATAGTTCATTTCTTTATTAGCAAACACATGAGGCTTTACCAACAGGCTAATTGGCACCTTTAAATCTTTTGGAAATATTATTGATCATGGCCAAACGATGGATCATGATTCATATAGCCTTTGAGATAAGGCTTAACTGAATCGGATTGTTTACTATTTATCAGAATCGAAATCCCCTGGAATTAAAACGGGAATTGCCTATTCCTAACATCTGTTTGGTTGAAACAGGAATTGGAGCTGGATCCCAATCATTGCTATTGGGTTCATTTGGAGCTAGAATCGAAATTAAAAAAAAGTTTTCAATTTTATACTAGTTTTTTATTATTTAATTATTGCTTTACTAATATTTTATTACTAGTTTATTATATTTAAATATTAATATATTATTATTTTATTAATTTTTATAAATATTTTATTATTATTATGCTTTATGTTTTTTGTCAGAAAAATTTTACTTTCTGAGAAACTCTAGAATAAGAATCTCATTATGCCAATAATGGAAATTAGAACCTAATTCCAACTTAACAAATAGTTGGAATTGAAATGAGCCTTTCCAATTCCAATTCTAGATATCTAATCAGGGAACCAAACAGACCCTTAGAACTTCCAGATTTTTGTTGTTCTAACTTCTAACGGTTTCATTTCCATTTAATTTTGTTTGGTAAAGCATTTTCTTTTTGTGATCTGTTGGTTTCATACCTCGTATCAAAAGGTATTGGGTATTCCGGTCCCATCATAATAAATTTGTAAGAGAGAAACAACAAAGACGGTGGAGCTGTAGCTCCCAACATAAAAACTCCGTTACGCACCCCTACCTCCCCAGCTAAAAAAAATGGAAAAGAAAAGATGGACTGACAACAGCAGGCCTTTTATGTTTCAGTTTAACGATGCTAGGTTCAGACTTCAGAATAGGTTTGTGTTTGTTTGAATCACTCCTCCTCAATTGTTTGCTCTTCATCGAGCGCGTCTCATGCCAACCTTACGCTGCATCGTAGCCATGCATTAAGAACCCCTATCGGGCTTCATGAAAAAATGCTTCCAATTCATAAATCACACCTCACACGAGCCTCACAGTCTCATTTCACCCTGTATTAGAAACATCTCGGGTCTTTTATGTTGTTATTTATGAGGAGATGTACCCAATATATGATGGGATGGGACTGTGAAATCCGTGTGAGATGTGCTCCGTGAGGAATAGATCTTAGTTTACGATGTACTGTGAGATTGATTGGTGTGAGGCGTGCTCTATGAGGGGTAAATCCAAATTAGTTTTAATGAATCTAAGTAAATGATCCCATTTGCCAACCTTGCTGATGATCCTTTAGCTGAAATGGAATCTGGATTTATTTCTCATAAAGCCCACTTCACATAGTTGCATCAACCTCACAGGAGTTCACATCAGCCCCCTACAACGTCTCACAGTACATCCTCATCTTGGCTGTGTATTGAGAACATTTCCAGATGATAATACAATTATACAAGAAATGGTGAGACATCATAGGGAGATGTTCCCAATACATGGATGTGAACTCAGTTGGGACGTTGTGAGGCACCCCCTTGGGGGTTCACCTCATAGTGCTTTCAAGCACTGCATTGAGAATATTTTCCTTAATTTTATTATTCATAGGAAGATGTTTCCAATACAGGGCAAGGATGTACTGTGAGGTTGGTAAGAAGTACTCTCTATAAGAAGTAAATCTGATTTTGCTGAAGTGGCAATTCAGCATCACTCCGAAAGAGGTGTAGGATAATCTATGAAATTTTTGCAGTAAGATGAATGAGCCTCACCTAGGTCTTGCCCTGTCTGTCCTCGTTGCTGTGTCCCTTGAATTTCCATATTCAATGCAATTATAAACAAATCAAATCCTAATTTCCTTGTTTTTAATATGCAGAGGAGATGCCATGGTGATCAATAAGGATCCAAAAATCATCGTGCAGAGGAGATGCCGTAGTGACCACTAATCTTCTGCTAGCGGTACAAAGGAATATCCTTTCTGAGGTGAAGTGGGGGCCTCACATGATCAGCTAGTTTATAAGTTTTGTTTGGAGAAAAATCAGAACCCAAATCAGCAGCTATCAGTCAAAGGGAAAAGTAAGGACAAGTTCAATAATATAAATTTCTGATTTTCACTGTAGAGATATAAACATTAAAAATGGTAATAACTCACATTAATGCACCTCCATAAATTAGCATTAATTCCAAGTTGACACCTACCTTAACAGTGCTTTGAGCCTATAAATTCTGACCCTGGACTAATCCATCACCCTTCCATATATAAATGGCTTATTCAGAAATCAGAATGCTTGAAAGCAATTTAAACCAACTTAATTGATCGAATATTCAGCTCAACCTTCGCAAAGGGGCCTATATTCAGTTAAACATTGCTTAAACTGCTCACATCTTGGCTAAAATGTGTATTTAACGAGCAATTGTATTTGTATAGTTGCCACTGATTAAATGAATGAAACGAATCAGCCCAAGCAAGGCATGAGGGCGCTTTGAAAGAAAAAGAAATGGCAGAGAATGACGTTACAAGTTACAACCTTATTACAACAAATAAAAGCAAGCAAAGAAATAGGAGTAAATATATATATTTGACCTGACCAAATGAAGTAAGGTGAAACGTATATTGGCACTGTTAGGCATGGGACAATTTGTCTCTCACATGTCCTCTCATCTTGTAATACGTGTCTGGACTGAGCATTTATTCATTAAACGTTTATAGTGAATTGTTTGTAAAATAGAGAAAATTAATAATGAACCCGTTTACTATATTGCGTTATTAAACATCACATCAATAAAATAGTGAATAACAATTACTTACCATTGAGAATCATTAAAATAAAACTTCCCTTAACAATAGGTATACATATAAATTAAGACTTGTTTTTGCAAGTCTCTATACATACGCATTCGCATAACGAGGGAAATGCTGAAGTGGCACCTATATGTCACCTTTTATTCAATAAATACCCACGATTTCAAATACATGCATTGTTTCTTACATATCCTAAATAGCTAAACTTAAACCGACTCTTGAAGAAAGAAATCCACTAAATCTTGATTACAAAATAGAAGTTCTTATGGGTATTTTTGTCTTTCATGAAAAATCATGAAATAAAAATGGTATGAGTCCCAACACCCACTTAGGCCCCATTTGTTTGTAACAATGCAACTTAACTGGATAAGTGCACTTACCTTGGAAACACTTACCTGGGTAAGTGCACTTACCTAGGTTTTTTTGATTTTTATGATTCATAGATAAATAATAAAATAACATTTCTACCCACGGAAAGTAGCTATTAAAATAGGTAAAATGATCTCATCATTAGAAACTTACCCACATGAGAGATGATTAAGTTTTACCAGAAAAGTAAGGATAACTTTATTATAGGGCCCATTGCTTAATGCAAAAAAAATATAAGAAAGTTGGCGAGTGGAAAAAAGTTATTCATTGACCAACTTTCTCATGCATATTATCAACATGCCTTAGAGTTAGCACTACCCATAGTAACTATAGTTGAAAAGTTGAAACTGATTAGACATATTAAGCCCCGTTTGGGAGTGTTTATTGGGTAAATAAGTGTTTATCTTTAATAAATGCTTAATGAGTGTTTGATGAAAAAGCAATTCTTTTAAATGCAATGCTATAGGTATTTTGAAATTACCTGACAGGCCAAAATGGGCCAAAAAGCGCAATAAGCACATTTTCAGAAGGTGATTAAAAAATCAGAAGTTTTAATTTATTCAAAATAGGTTTATTTTCTGAAAAAAACACTTATTTGGGCTTATTTCCTGAATGCATATGATTGCTTATATGTGTAATCCTGCCCTAAAATAAGAACTTATTAAAAATAAGCACTCCCAAACGGGTGCTAAATAATGTTAAATATGCAGATAAAAAGGATTGCACTGTCAAATTAATGAGAAAGGGTGGCTTCAAATTTCTCAATAAAAACAAAGATTTGTCATTCATCATGATAATATAGAACAATAGAAATGTTGCTGTCAACCTCGAATGATGGCCGGTGGCATCTCATCATCGTGGCCTCGAAGAGTAATAATTTCAGTGTGAAAGTGCCAAAATGGTCATCAACCAGACAACTAGTTGGAAGTAATCAAATCAGAGTGACATGTGGTTTCCAACCTTAGACCTAGCTACCATGCCATGGTGGACCCTCACTACCCAAAATCACTTTTGAAACATCACACTCACCTTGGCCAATGGCCACCGCATCACTAGCTCTGCACTCTCGCCATTTTTTCCCTCCCTCCCTCCCTCTTGTATTCTTTATCTCCTTATCACCTACCAAAACAAACACACCTCCTTGATATATATGTAGAAAGGCTCAGACAGATGATAATGAGTCATCATAAATTCCACCACCCATCCTGCAACGGGAATTCAATTCACCCCCCGTTCTCACTCTCTTTGGGATTTGCGAAGTGCAAACCCAAGGAACTGCAACTCTCATCTCTCTGGAAGAAAACGAAAAAGAAAAAGAAAAAGCTCCCAATCTCTTGCTGTAGCCTGTCTGCCTGTGCTCTTTAAATGCACATGCAGATTCGAGATTTGGTCTCCAACATTATAAAATGCCCAGAAAACAGTAGGGTGAGGAGGTGCCCGTCACACATTCCAATAGCCCCTGACGCCCTGCTCTTGATGCTTAAGCGTTTCTAGAACCAAGCAGTTTAGGCAATTCGCAGGTGCTGAGTCCTTTGTCAGAAAAAAAAAAAATTGTTTTTTGGTTTGTCTACAAATATATTGGGTGTGTGTGGGCTGGCTGTGCGATCGATTTCGTGTTTTTTGATTCCTCATTCTGGGTGCTCTTGGAGAGTCTCCGGTTGGTTTGCAAAGATGAGCTCTGTTGATGGTGTTGGGGTTAGCCCCGGAAACGTTCCAGTATACCATGGGGATAATTTGAAGGCGATGATCGACAGAAGGGTGAGACTTGCGGAGATGGTTTTAAGATGTCTGATATGTGGACTAGGTGTTCTTGCAGCTGTTCTTATTGGATCTGATACACAGGTCAGGGAGTTCTTTACAATTCGAAAGAAAGCAAAGTTCACAGACATGAAAGCTCTTGTGTATGTTGTTCCCCCCCTCTCTCTCTCTCTGCTTTTGGTAAATTTGTTTGGTTGGTTGTAAGTCTTGCTGATTAGCACAAAGAATCAAATGGGTGGTTTACTGATTATTTTATCAGTGTGTCGGTAATTCCTACCAAGAAAAAGGAAACCTGAAGCCCCAAAAGAAAATTCTCTTACATATTTATGTCAATTACTTAATGGGGTGGAAGAAATTTAAAGTTATATATGATGATTCTATTCTTTTTCTTGGACTGTAACAGGCTTTTAGTGGTAGCTAATGGGATTGCTGCTGGTTATTCCCTCATCCAAGGGCTGCGTTGTGGGCTAAGTATGATAAAGGGTAGTGTGCTCTTCAACAAGCCGTTAGCTTGGGCCATTTTCTCTGGCGATCAGGTAGTAATCACAATCACCACCATCTTGCTGCTTTCTGTTTATATATGCTTTACTCTGGCAGTCCAACAATCCCACCACCCTTGTGACTTTTACCGCGGCCATGTCCGAATCTGATACATGCATGCGAAGTTCCTGGGTCTCTGTCATTCTGTGGTTGAGATCCGATGTCTGCCCTTCTCCCGCAACCATATTTACTATCTAGCGAGCTTGGAGTTAGGATCAGTTTGGACTGGACTTAGGAGTTTGGACCACACGGAGGATCTCTATTTATTACAATTTATGGGCGAATTCGTGCTAGCTCTGGTTCTCTGGATTTCCTTTGGAGCCCCGGCCCTTGTAGGCAGATTTGGATACTAGAACCGACCCCATTCATGGACTCGATCCGTTTTATAGGGATTCCAGAGAGAGAGAGAGATTTCGTACGATAGGACATAGGACAGCGATATTCATTTAATGTCGTGATGGCATCCAGTCAGTGCATTGACTGAATCCAGTTTCTCGTCGAGGAGAGAGAGAGAGAGATTTCGTTCGAACGGGCTTTGCACTGAGTAACCAGTGTGAGTATGAGCAGAGAAGATTCCATTACAGTCGTTAATTCGTTATCGTACACGCACAGGGACATTCTCGGTGGTAAATTCCCAAGAAAAACCCTGTCTCTAAAATCCCTAATCCTGTGTACGATTTATAATAGAGGAATTTCCTCAACTTTCTGTATCTCTCTTATTTTCTATCGAACCAAAAACACAGGAAACAGGAAACTAGAGTAGAGGGTATCTTGGTAACCAGTGTGACAGTTGCCTGTTGTCTGTTGTAGGAATTAGGATGAGACGGCTTTGACATGGGCAGGGCCAATGAAGGTATGATTGAGAAGCAAACCCATAAATGGATCTAACCGTATGATTCTGAAATATGCAGGTGATGGCTTATTTGTTGATGGCTTCTCTGGCAGCAGCCGCACAATCGTCAGTAATAGCTCGGTTGGGCCAACCGGAGTTCCAATGGATGAAGGTTTGCAGTCTGTATGAGAAGTTCTGCACCCAAACAGGGGAGGGAATGGCGAGTGCGCTTGTAGTTAGTCTTGGTATGATAACGCTCTCTTGTATATCAGCCTTCAACCTCTTCCGCTTGTATGGAGGTAACAAAGCTAAAAGCAGTGGGAGATGGTAGGTCATAGGTGGGGGGTATGTGGTTCCCAAATCCACCACCTTTCCATCCATCTGGCTCTACTCAATAGTCAATACCATACCTTCAATTTCAAAGGAGTTAGAACTGGTGTAAATTTTGTTGCTTTTATTGTACCTGGAATGGGCTTTGTCAATTGTATTTGTAGCCTTGCTTTCTTTCCAAATTTAACGACATCACAGTTGTATTTGGTGATGAATGTAAGAGTTCTGAGTTCGCTCACCAAAAACAAAAACCATCCAGCTTTTCTCAATTAATCCCTTGTTCATAAGCTTTTTCCCCTTCTTTTCTCTTTGTTTTGGAGTTGCTGAAACCTCTTCTTGTTTTTCTAATGAAAAAACAATTATACTTTGAAAAAAAGCCATGGGAATCGATAAATTAAGCAATATGGGTAGTTAGTTCGGCATTGCTCATATTGGAAAGGTGTCCTTGAACAATTTCATGGAATGAACTCGTTTCCGTTGATTCTTAAATCTTAACAGGAACCAAATCCATGACCAGTTAGCAATTTAATCCGGCTAGTAACTTTGAAATGCACTCAACTAATAAAGCTAGCAATCGGTAAATAAAACTCTACAACTGAGTGGTAAGCATACCGATTCATTTAGGCTTACTGCTGGGCTAAAGCATTGTGCTTCAGTTCATTTCTCGCACTCTTCCTCCTCCAGTGTTCTTCGACGCATGGTTGCTATCATGTGATGGAGCATATTCTTGGTGTAGTAGACTGGATGGTTGTTCATAAACCAAACCCTGTTAAGAACACTGTATACAAATCGGCCATTTACTGTTAATCTTCAACTACACCACAACGAGCATTTAGGTACTGTAACAATCAGTAAAGGCGACAATCTCTTTTTGGTTGAGGAAGCAGTCAAATAGATTCCCAATGTGACTATTATGGAAGATTAACTACTTGCACCATACTAAATCATCTGGGGTACAAGTTGTGTATCAAATTCTGATCCGAGTTGTTGTCTAATCTCTGAAAATTAACTGAATAATTGTATCTTTTGTACATTTACATCTCCAACTATCTGATCAATGTTACAAATGGGATGATAACCCTGGCAAGCTATCATGAATGAAGAAGCTCATCGATCTGGAGTTGCTGCTGGGTCAAGATCCCAATATCCCTCTGGCAAGTTGCTGATTTCTTTTAGTGACCATGACGGTACCTGGTGCGAAAATCGTAACATCTCCCTCCTAGGAATCCATCTTATTGCTTTGCTATCCATATTGTTTTGATATACTGCCTTGAATTAATCCTTCCAGCTTAGCAAGGGGGCTGACACATACTCCAAGCTCTTCTGTGTAATCACCGAGGACCTCTACCATCTCATAGTGGTGCCTCACTTCAGCAGGGGTACTTCTATTCCAGTCTGGTGACAAATGCCGGTACACAGCCCAAGTGTACCCTCTTTTCGGAAAAACCCTGATGCATCCTCCCCTGCCAGGTTTCATTCCATAAAGAACATGAGAGAAAATGTTGACTTGATCAATGACATCCGAGTTCCATGCCCTGAAATTTCCACAGGATTTGGTGAACCCAGAATCAATCCAATTTACTGACCCAAATTCGCTGTCACTTTTAGAGTTCAAGTAGCTTATTTGAATCTTGAATGGTTTTACAGAGATAACTTGGCGGATCAGGCAGTACAGGCAAGGTATACCATCTTCCTCATCATACATAGCCCATATTTGTTTTGGGTTGAAGCAGTCTTCTGATCTACCCTTATCAAAATCATGGAAGTCTGAATCAGGGACAGATATTGAGATTGACCCATGCCCATTTGACACTGATTTATTAACAGAAGCACCCAAATCAGCTCCTGTTGGTAGCACTTTTGAGTTCTCAACCACAGTTTGAATCATTGGCTTCTCAGCTGCCGCAGCCAACTTCATCTCTTTCAATTTCTTTTGAATTTCTGTTCTTGATTGCCTTGTCAATTAATAACTAACTGTCTAGCATCAAATGCTGGAGAAGCCGAGCAACGCCTAACAGAAGCCTCACCCATACTAGAGGGCTTAGCATTGGCAGCAACATTTCCATTTACTTGTGCAATTGAGCTGCATTTATTTGGTGCTTCATTTCTGCCACAAGACTTTGCGTTGAGCCGGACACTCCCTTCTTTATTTGTAGTTTTGGATTCTGAAGTCTCAGTTCTGGACACTTTTTCATCACACCCATTTCTAAAGGTGCTTTCATCAATCTTCCTTTTCTCATCAGGCCTAATAGCTTTGTTGAATGGAGGTTCAGCATGGACAGCCAACTTTTTACAAGATGTAGCGTTCAGGACATTCTGTGTGAGACCCTTCTCCCGTGCTGCTGTCTTAACCTTCTCTCCTGTTCTCTGTACACTGTCATTTGTATGATGAACTACACTAGCAGATTGGGTGGTTGATCCATGAGCACCCACAATGCCAGCAGAGGTTCCAGGGAATGGGCTCCACTGGAAAGACATGTTTGGATACTCAGACCCAAACCCAGAATAAAAGTCAGGAACAGCAGTTCCTGTGAAAAATATGGTATTGGTTGGAAGATATGTTATGCCACTGAACCCCTGATTTCCATGCACATTTTCTGGAACAAATGACCAAGAATAGAGAGGGATAGAACCACCTGCAGGGGCTTTCCCTGTTTCTACAGCCACAAAAGTTTTCTGGCAGTTCTTACAGGAGAGTCTGTCGTTGTTTACATACTTCCGGAGATATTCATATTGTACCTTGCATGAAGTACAAACAGTCCAGAAAGTTTCAGAGTTGGGTTGGTTATGAACCGAGCTCTTGGAACAGTTGCTTGAGCCATTACTTACGGGGTTAACTGTGGGGGAGTTTGTCTGGATGACATTTGCTGAGGACGGTTTACTTCTTCCTAGATCATAAGAAGATCTTTTAACACTATCTGATAAGAGAGTCCACGCTTCAGAAACAAGTTTGAATTCTCCGTCAGTTCCTACAGTTTTATTCTCATCGGGGTGAAGTATCAGCTCCAGTTTCCTGTACTGTTTCTTAATTGCATCATCGTCGGCCAGTGGACTCAATCCAAGAACTGCATAGAAAAAAATTTCCCCATTGATCTGAACCTCCGAAGCAACATAAACGTCAAATGTAGCCAGCATTTGAGAGATGCCATCCAATTCAGGGTACAAACTATTAGGAGAATACCGGTTGAAGCAAGTTGCAATGAGCAAGTTGCGATGAGTTTTACTCTCGCAATGAAGATTGTTATAAAGTCCGTTATGAATCTGTTTTGGTAAATGCCACGTCAGCCTCCTTTGGCTCCCTGTTATAAATGCATATATATTTGATAAGTTTAATGAAGGAAATAGAACCTTTTCTTCGCCATTGTCCTATTGCCAGTTTTACATGGTATCAGAGCTCTAGGCTCTCACGGAGAACTCCGATTCTTAACTCCAGCCCTTTTTTTTGTTCTTGTTTCGAATCCTCTTCCGTCATCGGCCGTGAATAGAAGTGAAAACATTGTGTTCACTGTCACTAATCAGATCTCCTCTTTCAGTGATCAGAATTCACCTATCTACCTCCATCCTTCTGACAGCCCTAATATAGTGCTTGTCTCTTGTATGCTAAATGGAGACAATTATATGACTTGGAGAAGAGCTATGACTAATGCTCTCAGCACCAAGAACAAGATTGGCTTCGTGAATGGAATGATTCAGAAGCCAGATCTGGCGAATCAGGCAGAGTTGCTCACCTGGTTGAAATGTAACTCCATGGTGGTGTCATGGATTTTCAATGCTTTAGCCAAAGACCTTCATAAAAGCGTAGCCTATGCTAAAAATGCCTAAGAAATGTGGAAATATTTGGAAGAAAGGTTATTACAAAGAAATGCACCAAGAATCTTTCATCTCAAGCGAGAACTCATGTTGCTCAGGCAAGAAAATCTCCCTATCTCTGTTTACTTCTCAAAACTCAAGGCAATTTGGGATGAATTATCAGCCTACATTGCTGGACCATTATGTACCTGCGGACCATGTACTTGTGGAGTCCAGAAAAATTTTGTTACAGAACGGGAAAGAGATAAAGTGTATCAATTCTTGTTAGGCCTGAATGAAAATACCAATAGTAGGAGAGAGAGCAAAGAACCATACTCGAAAAGGCAACTTTCAGTGTACTTAAAAACATATAAAATTTGACCATTAAGCAAGCTTAATGCTAAAACAACATCTCCCACTAATGTTGGAAGTTTTCCCACTATTTAGGAGAGTGGGACAATTACAAAAGAGATGTTAGGAAACATACTCTTAATTAAACGTTAAAGCCTTAAAAGAAAAGAAAATAAATAAAGGTAGGGCAAGGGCCCTAAACCTATGCATGCAGCACAACACAACACGATACGGCGCAGCAAGGTGGGTGGGCATGCGTGTGTGTTAGCCCAACCCATCCCGGCTTGATGCATGCATGGGTGTGATGGCCTAGGTGTACTCTCCCCACATGCTTCAAAGATATAACCCAAAAGCACAAAGTATAAGATAAACCCAAGAAGAGTTGGGCATATTGATATTTTAATCCTTGTCTCCATCATGACCATGGCATGAATTTAAAAAGACTCTAAGGTAGTCTCTCTAATTGAAGTGACTACTAATCATAAAAGAGGAATTTACTTCTCTAAAATTCTCAATCAAATGACCTGCTCTTTATAATGGAGTGAGAGTTTCCATTTACTTGCTTACTTGATCCTTGAGTTTCTTGATTCCCTATTTATAGGTGTGGGGAGGCTAAAACTTTCAAAAAAGCTTAAACTCTAACTTGGACATGAGTATGTCAAGGTTCAAGAGTCCTAGGAGTGTTTATCTCTTGAATGCATGAAATTTATCTCTAAAATTTGAATTTTGGGAGTTTTAATGCATTTGTGTAATTGCTCTAGATCCATTTTAAACAATCTAAAGGCTCCCGTGAATTTAAGGCACATGTATGAGACATATTCATAATGTGTAGATGGATTCCATGCAGGGGTGGAACAAAATTGCGTTTTCAATTTCTATACCCATAACAGGAGTAATCCATCCTATATAGCCACAACCTGGTTAGGTTAATGCTTGCCCCCCGCCCTCCTAATTTTTCCAAGAAAGTTGTATTGAGTGGGGTAGAGTCATATTAATTCTTGATCTCAATCCTAACCCAATTTGATTTGTTGGAACCTTAATTTAAATTTAACATAACCCATTATTTTTTCATGTATCAATCTAATTTATTGTTTGGATTGGATTTTCATGTTGGGCTTGAATTGGAATGACACATTTACTTTATTTTTTAGGATCAGATTG